AGGAGGAGGTTGTCCATGTACTGCAGAATTGTCACATCCACCCCCCCTCCCCTTAGTGAGGGGCTTCAGGTTTCCTGCTAGGGCTTCCCCAAATAAGGTTGGGGAGTTCTTAAACCCCTGGGGAAGTTTAGTCCAGGTTAACTGAGTCTTGACCACTGTGTGCGGATCTTTCCATTTAAAGGCAAAAATGGGTTGGCTGGAAGTGGGAGAAGGCATCCTTTAGATTAACGGAGGTAAACCACGTTGCTGTTGGGGGAAGCTGGCTCAGGAGGGTGTACGGGTTCAGGACCACTGGGTGGCGGCTGTTGGCTGCTTTGTAGACAGCCTACAGATCCTGGACAGGCTGGTCCGCGCTCCCGTCTGGCTGCTATCATGGGTCTGGGCAGGTGTGGCCTCATGTTATGGAGCCAATCTTCTTCAAGCTCCCACTCAGAGGAACTGCCTCCCAGTCACATCCTGGGCAGGGGAGTCTTTCTTTATCTCCCTGGCCCAGAGCATGGCCACAGCCATTCAGCATATCCAAGTGACCAGCAAGGCTATAGGTATGCTAAATGACTATGTCATGGGTTAGCTGTAAAGCTGTTGCTGTACAAAACAGCCCTGCATACTTTGCTCTGTGTGTCCCTCCCCAACTTACACCTGTGGGGAAGGGGTGAAGACATCTTAAAATTTCCTGGACACCTTGAGTTCTGGACCCCGTCCCAAATGCCCATTTGGGGTCCCCCCCACCCCCCGCCCGCCTTGGCTGCACCTTGTAACAATTTTTCATTTTAGATATATACCCACTTTAAATTCTTTTAAAGGACAATGGACGAAGGTCTCATCTTCTTGTAACTGCTTCCAGCTGGAAATGGATGTTGTTCTACCTACCCGTGGGTCTGGGGTGCCCTGAAAGGGGGTGCAGCATGGAGGGAGTCCTTCCTGTAAGGGGAAGGACCTTACAGAATCCTGGTCAATTGGCTGTTACCAGGAAGTCACAGGCTCGGTGTCCAAAGGCTGGCATTAAAGAACCATTGGCATCCTGGTTATATTTTGGAGGTGACAGATTTGGGAAGAGTTGGAAGGCACAATTAAATCATAACCATTAAATGACAAAGACAGGGGCTTAGGTATGGCTTATCTGGAGGAAAGTGTACAAGGCATGCTACACTTATCCAAAGCTCTTGTGGTCCATTATACTTTACTCAGGCTGAAGGGAATATGTTATGATTTCTCTCCTTTCAGATATCTAAGCCTTTCCTGTTCAAGCCATTAAGATAAAAAAGGGAAAATCAGTTTTAAAGTGAAGCCCACGACAGATTGCCCAAACTGCTTACTAACCCAACTACTTAGTTTAGCCAAACCATTGAGCTCTAGGGGGCGATGACGAAAAATGGGCTCCTTAAGTGAGGCCTATATTGCAACTAATCACTCAGGTAATGACGTCATAGGCATACATCCTATGAAAACAGAAGAACACACAGGTTAATTTACACAATAGTCCCCAAACCAGTCTCTGTGCCTGTGAGACTGTCTTTTGGGAAGGCATTCAGTTGCAAGGTCTTTCCTGCAATGACATTCAGCAATGGCAATTTGACAGGTCCTTTATACCTGTAAATTGCACATTTTTGATGATATTACAAAACCAGTTTTAACCTTCAAATGAAAACAAATTTTTAAGACAGTTAGCAGCGTTATTCTGATGTTTAATACCGAGCACAGTGATTTTCCTTGAACCATAATTTTTCTCCTTAAGATCATCCTCATTGTTATAAAAGGGACTACTTTGAGTTCTGTTTTTTTTTTATTTTGACTGTTTGTTTGCATAAACACACCAAGAGCAGCCTGGATTACTTATGATCTTTAATTCTGCTTTGCTGGAACTCACACAGGGATCTTCAGATTGACTTCTCAGTCTGCCCCTCAAGGCACAGAAGCAGAGCCACACATCCACCATCTGGCTTCGCCTGTACCAGTTGTTTTACTCAGATCCTTGAGGTTTTCATTGTGCCCACAGGTCCTTTTGGCGTTCTTTCATGAAAGCAACCTTTGTTCCTTCCCTGGAAAGACTGCCATGAACTGCACAGCCAACCAAAGTACCAGGCTTCTTCCGTGGGCTTAAGCTAGCTTCACAAGTCAATCCCAATTCCTCAGGGCTTTCTGGTGACAACCAGAACCCATACATGCCTCCATCAGACGTGACGTTCCAGTCAAAGTCTTGGTTAACAAAACCACTATTAACGACTGGTCTTATTGGTTTTATGCAAAGAAACCTTATGTTTTCACTTACTCCTTCAGAATGCTAAATTCTGGAGGGATCAGGTAGGGAGAAAAATACAAAGCCTGAAGGAAAATCTTTTTCCTTCTGATATCTACCAGGCTTCTTAAAACCTTTACTTCTACAGACTTTTTGCAACATTTACAAACTTTTTATTTTTATACATTTTCTGATACCCACCAAGAGTATTTCCATGCCTTATACCTTTTATTATTAACTAACACCACATAATTCCTTTTAAAACTTTCATTTTTCCATTTATCTTTACAGTTTCCCACAGACCTTCTTCATATATATATGAATTTATATATATAAATTATTTACTTATCTACAGAATGTGAAGTTTTAACCTTCCCTGGAATCCTTAATTTCCTTTTTAGAGCAGATACAGAGCAAAATCCAAAACACAGAGTTTCCAGAACAGTACACAGGTAGGGGCATTCTCTTGCACAGAGACATGCTCCTTCAGGCTCGGTCTTTTGGCAGAGACATGCTGCTTTGCCTCTTGCTGAAGCACTCATCAGCCCCAAATGACCCTTCCTGGGTCCCGAGTGGCAAAGGCATCCTCCCCAACCGGTTACAGGCAACCTTAAACAGATTTTAAGTACAGACGGTTTTGATCAGAAACAACACTGCTCTTTTCCCACAAAACCAGAAAACAAATAGTTGAGGTTTCCTTTATTCCAGGTTTAAAACTTTACATTCCTTATACATAATTTCACTCATTCTGATTTAACCATTATTCTTTTAATCCTGGTTCCTTTCCCACTCTGGGAAGGACAGCCAAAAGTCCCTGGCACTGCAGGTACCTTCCACTAAAATTCCCTAGATTTGCAGAGACATTCTGCAGTTTTCTGAAGCTCAGACCCTGCAAACACCCTACAGGCCAGATGTTTTCCTTAAACCTCAGTACATGTCCTTCAGAGCCATCCTTATCAAAACCAGTTACACAGAGAACCAGACTGATGCAGTCTGGAGAGAGCCCTTAGCCTGGCACTTTGCCCAGTTCCAAGATAGAGGGGCTCTCACGTGACCCATCATCCAAGATGACGACAACCATGCACCTCCACCCTGGGGGGGGGGCACTCACATGCCTCATCCTCCATTTTACCCAAAATGGTGGCGCACCCACATACATGCAATATAGTACTATGGCAGAACCCGCCCCCACCCAAACCATGATGAATTCTCCCAACTGACGCAGACAAACAAAGGAAAAGGGGATCTTTCACATGCCCACCGCAGGTGAGGGCCCAATCAGACTCTGTAAGCCTGGCCGGCCTGTGGAGTTACGGATACATTCACACACATAGTCAGTCACACAGCTCTCCCCCGAGAAGGAGTCCGATGGTCTGGGTCTTGGCCCAGACTCCTGAATTTTGTGGTTGGGGGGTGATCAGCCCCCTGCCTTGGTCTCAGGTCCAGTCCCTGGGGCACTCACCGATTCCTGATTGGTGCCTCCAACAGTTTGTGGTTCGTCTCTCCCCTCCACCCGGGTGCTAGAGCGGTCAGGGACTCAGCACGGGGAGTCTCTGCCCCAGGAAGCCTGGAATCACCAGGGCACATGCTCCTCCCCTGCGGCAGGGCTCCCCCGCCGCCGACTCCCCCAGTCGCCTTCACCAGAGGCAAAATACCTGCTCGCATGAGGGATTTCCCAGCCAATGCACCAAAATGTTGCGGAAGAGTCACTCACACTCGGGGAAGATGATGAAGCACAAACTTTATTACGCGCGCGGGCTCAAGGGGGGTTAATTCCCAAATCCTGAGCCGAAAAAGCTGGGTTAGGAGTCCTTTTTATATACTAGTTACACAGGCAGAAAGGGAGAGGGAACCAGATGCTGAAAGCAAGCATTCAGAAGCAGGAGCAAGGTCAGTGGCCTTGACATAACCAGCTGTTGTCTTGGTGACGACTGGTCAGCTTCTATAGTCCTGTGTGAAATTTTTCAAGTGTTACAGTTACAGAGGAACTTTTGGAGTTTTTCTTTTCCTGCCACAGTACAGGAGGTAGCATACCTCTTTTGCTACCAAGAAGCAAATAATACAAAATATAGCTAATAAAGAGTATAATTTAAACATAGTTTCAAAATATGGTCCCAAGTTTTTTCTGCACTCATCTCTCTACAAATTCAATAGCACTGTCAATGACAGAAACCATGGAAAATGGATAAATGTAATAATATTAAATACGCCAGGGCAAATTTTTAGCAAGAATTTTAAAACAAATCTCAGTTGTTTAAGAAAGCTCATTAACTGCCAAAAATACTTTCTTTTACATTACTCTGAGTTTCAAATTTCATGAATCCAAAAACAGAATTAAACTGCAACAGTAAGAAGACAAAATATCAATGGGAAAATTCAGACTTCCGATGTAAAAATATGCTAATAATCTAGCAGCAACTTCTGTAGAATTTATATTTGATTTCTAAAATGACTAAACATGGTTAATAAAAACTACCTGCCATTAATATCATGTAATATTTGGTTGTTTCAAAATTATTTTCATACTCATATGTTTAATGTTAGACAACAAACATCATGTTTAAATAAACAGTGCAATCCATACAATGAAAACTATCAATCAAATTAAAATGCACCATTTTATTACTAAATTCTCAAGAAACTATAGGTACTAAGTACAATTCTTTAAAAGTAATGGCTCCATCACAAGCACACTCGATCTCAAATATCAAGTACAGTAATTGAAGTTGTAACACTAAAAGGTCACTTCTTTTTGGCCCCCTCCAGGGGGTGCACCGTTTCCATAAGTACCACAATACCAGGTCAATGCTTGGAGTGGACGAGCAAGCTCCTATTCCATCTCCAAGCTCCAAAATTCCATTTAATATAATGTCCTCGGAGAGAGGAGTTGTCAGATATTAAACTGATAATCACTGATACTACACCTGATCTCAGCCAAAAGCCTGAGAAGTGATGGAAGGTCACTTTTTCAATAAGCCTTGCTGAACTATTTCCCCAACGCTAATATTGTTGAAACGCTTACCACCTTTGACACCTGAAAATAATAAAGATGAGATTTAAGACTTTTCATTAAAATGTATGTAGACTGTATCCTTAGGTATTACCTTAAAAGTACCAATCACAATACACTGAAGGCTTCCATTTCAGCACATAGTTTGAAAATTATTTCTATTATGCAATGAGAGCATGAAATAGTAAATCACACTGTTCTATAATCTGGTTTCCAAAGGTCATCTTTAGTAATGTTTTAAGTAGTAAATCTTACCATTTTAGCTTAACATTTTTTAAATGGTCAAATTTCAAAAACCTCATCGTTAAAATTTACTTTCAAAGTCCGTGCTCATAGGAATCTAAACACTGTATACAGGAGTTGAGCAGCTTCTCTGAGCAACCAGTGTTTCAGTTCGCCTTCATTTTCTTCTGAGCTTTTATTTTGTTTGCACTGCAGTTTTTCACTTAATGAAAAAAGATTACACGCACTAAATCGCATAAGAATGGTCATCTCCCCGTTATTACAAAGAGCAACTGCCCTCTTCTCCTTAGTCCTCTCCTCCTCCACCCACATCAAGGAGAGTCCAGGGGAAGTGGACCTCCCTCCACTCTCCGCAGGATGCTGGCTAACCGGGCACCGCCTGGGTTGTCTGAGGTTCAGATCTGCCCACCCTGGGCCTTCCTACCTCCTCCCACACCTCCTTCTTCCTAGATTCCGACAGGCACCCCGGGAGACCCTGCGTGTGCGCCTGCGCTGGGGTGAGTCTGGCCCAGGATCTCCAGCGAGAGGCCGAGGCGTGAACAGGAAAGGTCAACATCGATGGGCGCCTGAGACAGTGTTGCTGCACACTCCCGGGTCCCGGGCTTCTCTCCACCAGGAGTCCAGCATCGGCCTGGGAGAAGCCACACTCTGGCTTCACAGACGTGGTCAGCACTCAGCTGCAGGCAGTGGGCGGAGGGGCGGAGGGGCGGAGGGGCGGAGGGGCGGAGGGGCGGAGGGGCGGAGGGGCGGAGGGGCGGAGGGGCGGAGCCTGGTCAAAGTGGGAAATCTAGCAGCCCGGGCCTGGAACCGACTGACCGGTGGAGACCGCCATCTTCTCCTGCTGTGGACACAGCCGCCTTCTAGGCGGGCGACGCTGTGCGTCCCTCCCGGAACTCGCGCGGACGCCTGCCCCGCAGCTTGTTTTCTGGCCTAACTGCAGCGGTGCTTCAGCCAGGTAGGGCAGAGAATAGGGAGCCCTGCTGCCCTATTGGCAGCTTTCCGATTTTGAGGTGAACTCAAAATAGAACGTTAAACAAAGAGTTTATGGGGAGACAAAGTTGAGTCAATCACAGTAATGTAAGGCAGAGAGAAACAAAATAATTTTAAGAACCATGTACAATGGGGTTGCTCATGTCAAGACAGCGTGCCTAGAGAAGTGCCGGAAGGGAGAACACCCGCGGGTTTTCAAACTCATGTTTTGTTTAAAGTTTTATATACTCAGTATTTTGCCATGTATAATGCGCACTGCGTTGCTCACATTTTTGAGGGGAAAATAAGGCTCTGCATTATACATAAATAATACCTGAAATACCTTGTATCTGTTCTTGTGTTTTGTATTATTCCATAAAATTTCTTGTACCATAATATGTTCAAAAATAAATGCCAAAATTCTTTTATAAATAAAGAAATCTAAATATAAATAAATAATTGAATTTAAAAATTAAAAGGATTTTTCCCCCTAAAAGTTGGGCCAAAAATGTAGGTGCATGTTATACACAGCAAAATATGTTCTGTATTAAATATCTCATTAAGAAGGTAGAAAGGAAGGAAATCTTACCATTTTGCCACAGCATGGGTGGACCTGGTAATCATTATTGGTGAATTAAGTCAGAGAAAAGGCAAATACCGTAGGGTTGTACTCATGTGGAATGTAATGAACAAAATGAAAACAAACTGGTACATACAGAGACAGCTGTCAGAGGGGAGGGGAGTTTGGTGCTCTATGAAAAAGTGAAGGGGTTAAGCAAAAAAAAAAAACAACAAAACTTCATAGACACAGACAACATTATAGTAATTATCAGAGGGAAAGTTGGGTGAGGGAGGTAGAAGAAGATAAAGGGGAAATAAATGATGGACAGAGACTTGATTTTGGATAGTGAACACATAATGCTGTATACAGGTGATGTATCATAAAATTGTGCACTTGAAACTTATATACTGGCAACTATTTTTGAAATTTTAAATTTTTTACCATCACTTGAGGGCATTTTTCATTGCTTCTCAGAGAGGGGGAAGGGAGAGAGAGAGACATCAATGAGAAAGAGAAACATCAATTGGCGCCTCCTGCACGTGCTTGCACCAGGGATCCTTGGTGCCTGATTGGGGATCAAACCCACAACCTAGGTATATGCCCTGACCAGGAATTGAATCCACAACCTTTTCTAAAAGGGTGCAGCCAAGAGGGGTCCCCCAAATTGGGATTTGAAATGGGGTCCAGAATGCAAGGTGTCCAGGAAATATTAGGATGTCCTCACACCACCGCCACCACGAACCCCCCACCCTACCCCCCCGCTACAGGTGTGGGTTGGGGGAAGGGACAAATGGAGCAGGGCTATTGAGAGCTGTTCTGCATAGCAACAGCTTTTCAGGTAACCTTTGGTGTGGTCATTTAACATATCTATAACCTTTAACTGGTTACATAGATATGTTAAATAGCTGTGGCCATGCTCTGAGCCAGGGGAATGGAAGTAAATTCCCCACCAAGGTGTAACTGGGGGGGCAGGTCCCCTGAGTTACAGCGCCTGAGTGGGAGCTTGAAGAAGATTGGCTCCATGACATGGGGCCATGCCTGCCCAGACCCAAGATGGCAGCCCAGTAAAGCTGGAAGGATATGAGAGGGCTAGCAAGTGTGGTCAATTGTGGGAGGAGTCAGGAATGGAGCTGCAGAGGAGGATTGGCACGGGGATTTAAACCCAGACTTGGCAGCCGTTGAGAGGAGAACCATGCAGCATTGGCAGAGTGGGGACCCCCGCAGCTTTAGAAGGAGGAACCACCACCTGGCTTTAGCAGAGATCCCAGCCACACAGCTGATGTTGCTAGGAACCAAGGGAGGCCTACCAGCCGAGACAGATTACTGGGAAGAACCAGGGGCTGCCTGAGTCATGGACTTCTATTTCTTTTCCTGAGATACGGTACCCCACACTGGGCAAAGCAGGGAAGGAAGGACTGTGTGTGTTTGTGGGTGTTTTAAGGGACTGGTATTTTGCTGAAGACATTAGGTCACTACTTTAAGTTTGTATAGCATTAAATAAACATTTCCTTTCCTTTTAACTAATCTGTGGCATTGAGAGACTTTTTCCTCTGATGGCGGACATATCGAACCTGGAGGGTTCCTTTCGGGTAATAGTATATCGTCCCAGGCACCCCCCCGCCCCCCCCGTTGTTTTGTAACACTTTCAACCAACCAAACCACACAGTCCAGAGCCCTTGCGGGGGTGAGGGGGAGGCTCAGCTCATGGAGTCCCACCCCCACCCCAATTTGCCATGGATGAGAATAAGTCTACCAAGACCTGTTATGCTTGGAGAGGAAAGGTGGCCAATCTCTCAAAGGAGAAGTGTCTTCAGCCTGTTCCTCAATGGGCTTTTTATTGGGTTCAGTTAGCATAGGAATACAGGGTATGTAGGTAAAGCTCATCAATCATTGTAAGGCAGTGATGATCAAACAATAGATAATATTCAAAGAACAATGAGGGCTTCTTCTGAGTCAGGGTCAGATAGCCAAAGGGCCAAAAAACTATAACAAATAAACTTATTTTATGCTTGGGTACTTATCTTTTAAATTGAGGGTATTAGCAAATCATGTTTCACAATGCTTTTATGTATTCCTTCTTAGTCCTGATCATCCCAGGGAACCTGCCCTTTTCCAGCACAGGGCTGCATGCACCTCTGGCATTGTTTTAGGCTTAAATAAGGTGGTGGATGCATGCAGCCAAGAGATTAGGAGATTTCTTATAGACAGAATGAGGACTCAGGCTCTGTCAAAGCCAAGGGGTGAGGGTCCATCACCCTCTTTTTCTATAGTCCTCCAAGTCCTTCCTCGATGGCCCCTTTGTAACGGTGCCTGTCTTAGGTCATCCCTCCCTTGAGGAATCTTAGCCATCATTGGCTAGCCAGTCCCCTGCCTGGGGCCAAGCAGGGTGAAGTAAAGGGGGCAGAGGTGGTGCCCCGGTTGGGAAGATAAGCTTTGTCTTTTTAGTGGCTTGTGGTCCCAAGGTCTTTTTACTCAGCCTTTGCCATGGGGGTGGTGGTTATAGCTTCTGAAACCAAGCAAGGCTGTTCCAACAGAGCCCTATGTAATTTTATTAACCAATGTAAGCCCAATAAGTTCAAACAGATTAAAAAAATAAACTTTAAAGGAAACAAAAATCTTTTATATAGATTAAAAATTGAAATGAAAATATTTTTGATATATTGAATTAAAGTACATTATTAAAAATAAAAGCCCTAACAAAATATGGGCATTGACAATTCTGTGTTGAAAAATGATTCAATACAGTTGAACAAAATTGTCAAGAAGCCCTAAGAATGAAACAAAATTATTTCATTTCTATTTTACTTTTGAGATATGCATACTAGTGAAACAATTAAAATCCACATACAAGTCTGAAAAGTTGTTTCAAAGAATATAAAACAAAATTTCTAAGTAACTAGCAGGAATTATGTGTTCAAAATGGAAAGATTATACCTTTTTAGTGTGAAACTAAGGGGCTGTGTGGTTTGTGACTACCTCTTGCTCGTTACCTGAACTCACACAGTGCACTCACCTGCTAAGGCCACGTGGCCCATGGCCTCCAGAAGGAAACCTCTCACTCACTCTTCCCCACCTGGTGATGTACTTGTCAATATGTTCAATATGTGCTCTCCTGAAAGAATACAAACTTGCAGGCCTAGCATCCACCTGGCCTGTGGCTGTGAAAGATC